AGATACATCAGAAAGCAGATGTATGCGCAATTGCAAGCAGCTATATTCCCCTCTTAATAAATAACGAGGTGTCCAGATCTGCAACTGCAACTAAACCGATCCAGCTGTATATCATATTACCTGCATCTCCAGGAAGTCGAGCAAAGGCATGCCGCAGCAACCGCTGGCTCGTAGGGAAGCGATACGCTGAGCAGATAAAAGAGAATTAAATACAGGATTTAAGAATTAGCTACGCATGCACGAGGAAAATGAATTGGAAAATGTGCTGAGGGGAGTGTCTAAAGAAGAGAGAACTACCGCCACGCACTTCATCTGCCAGCATCATAACGTCAACCGCTTCGTCGTACAGCCCTCCGTTGGAGCACTTCAGCACGAGCGACGGCAAGTCAAGCAGCTGAAATTCATATAAAGGCACAGTAGAACATCATAGAAGCAGCGAAATCATAAGCTGCCACGACAGGCATATCTCTTTATTGCTACAGTCCGACGCCATGTGCTCTTGCAGTGCTTTAGTTAGTCGTGGAACGTCTAACGTACCCCTGATACCGATGATTGCATAGAAACGAGGATGTGCAGTGAGGCTTCATGGCTCGATGCTGCATTACTTTCAGTCCTAAATTGCTGCCAAGACAGAACATCAGGCCACAACCAGTTGCCACAGCAAAATTTGTTGACACCCTGCAGACCATACTAAACGAAACAATCACCTCCACTCATACATTAAATCTCACCTTCAGGCAGCTGTGCAGCGGTTGAATGCAATGCTCCATTTCAGCGAGCGTCGCGGAAAGACTACTGATCTGAACAAGCACGCCAACGTTCAATAACATCAATTCAACCCCTGGTGTGAATCCGTTGCAGCAGCAGCGTAATTACGTTCGCAATATTTCGCACTGCTTACACTGCTACTGAGATTGCTGAGTGCCTTAGATGATGCTAGAAATAGCGAGCAGTTCTGCACCGCCAGTTCATCTTGAACGTTCACTAGCTTCTCCGCTTGCGTGTGTAGCAAGGCCTGCAGCAAAGATGCGATATAACTCAGACGCATATGACAAGCCAAACAACAATTGTGGGCTGTATGTTCCAGTCTCTTTCCGTTTATAATCAGCGTGCTTGGTCAGTGCTAGCTGATGATTAGTTGCAGGGTCCTGTTACCGGCTGTCTACACAGGTCATCGCTGGTCATCTGAAGAAATTCATCTACCCCAAGGCTCTTAGCGATGTCCAACTGAGTCTTCTGCTTGGTATACACCTGCTCGGAAGGA